AGCCACGAAGTTAGCGAGGAACTCCTTGTTGGAGGTGCCAGCCGCCGCTTGGTCGGGGTTGTAAATCGGGCCCTGGATTTTGGGTGCGCTTCCATCGGCAGGCTCCACAAAGTAGAACATCCTCATCAAAACCATAGACTGAGTCTTGAAACCGGCCTTGTGGTCGTTATCAGTGAGAACGAAGAAGACGTCCTGCAGGATGGTGATGAAGAACTGCTGGAAGAAGGCGTTGGCCGTCTGCACATCAGTCTTCTCCGCAATGTTGTTGATGAGCTCCAAGCACATGTTAAGTCCAGCAGCCTCCACATCGCGGTTATCGTGCTTGAATGCCCATGAGCACGAGTCGATGACGAACTTGAACTGGCGGTTATCCAGCTTCAACAGCGCCGGGAAGCAGTGAAGGTTGATCGCGCGAAGAAGGTTGAAGAACTCGACACGGTGCTCAGGGAATTCAGAGAAGTCCTTGTTGATCATGTCCAGGGTGCACTCGAAGACGTTCTCCATGATGTTCGGGACCTGGTCCTCCATCAAAGTGGAAAGTTTGGTGATAATCGCAGACATGGCCTTGAGGACTTCGGCGTCACGGGCTCCCGGCACGTTGCGGTTGTAGTCGATCAGGATAGACTCAAGCAGGGGAGGAACCATCTGTTGGCGCACAGATTGCAGATCCTCGGCCTTCTCAACGTACGTCTCAACGAGCTTGAGAATCTCCTTCTTGATGGTACGCAGTCCACGGACATGCGGCATCTTGGTAGCAATCTCGCCTGTGATATGTCAGTCACGGTACTATTTGCTTGGTTGCATGTGCAGACTCACCCTGCTTTTGGACAGCCTCGGAAATCAGTTCACTGGTAGCACGGTACATCTGGAGCATATCGAGGAAGATGCGACCAATCTGGGGGTAAAAGTACGGGCCGATGGATGTGCAAGCGGAGACGTTTGTCTTCATGATGTTGCCAATAACCTTGATCGTCTCGGCATCTTGAAGAATGACGGGGTTGACCCGGGCCTGCTTGATAATCTCATCCCACGCTGCGTTCGGAATGGCCATCAGATCGCTGAGCAGACGCTCCTGCTGGTGCTTGTTGCCCTGGGCAGCCACCATGTAACCGCAGGCCTCGTAGAAAGTGTGCACTTGCTGAGGCGAGAGATCACAGGTGATCTTGTGCATGTTGCGAACAATTTCCTCAATGAAGGGCTCCTGCTCACTAGGCTGCAGAGCAACGAAGTGGCGACGGCACTGTCTCGCGATCTTGATGAAGGTATCGCAAGCCATGTCCTGGACACCTGCGAGGGGTCAGCATTAGATTCATCAACAGCATTCAGGGAGACGTACCCTCGTGTGACTCGTGCATGAACTCGAAGAGCTTGTTGACGACAGTCTTGAGGAACTTCCAGTGCGCCTTCAAAAACCGGGGGTATTGTCCAACAATGTACATGATGTTGGAGGCGACGACGGCCTTGTTGTCCTTGCCACGCTTCATCTCGGTGAGGCCCAAAAGATCCTTAATGACAGTGACCAGGAATCTCTTCTCAGTCTCCTCGTTCATGGCCAGGGAAATCGAACCAATGGCCCAGCAAAGAACGTTGCAGTTGTGCCATGACCACTCGCTGCCATCGACCTGCCGGGCGAGCTTCTCCGTCATGATGTTCTCAGTGTCCACAACGTCCAAGTGCGTCAGGTACACCAAGCACTCTCTGATGGTCTTGTAAAGCTGGACTGTGTCGCTCTCCTTGACGAACTCGCGGACGATTTCTCCCTCGTCGTTCTCGACAATGAGGACCTCCTCAGGACGGACCATCTTCTCAATCATGACGGTGCGAAGGTTGGAAAGGACCTCGTTGTACTTGTGCTTACGAAGCGGGTAGTTGTTGAGCAGCGACGGGTTTGGCGCGCCGCCTCCAGACATGCCACCGGCCATGCCCATCAAGGGGTTGAGCTCGGTCATGGGGAGTTGCTGCATCTCATCGTAGAGCTCGTTGACGAGCTTGAGCCAGTAGTCGAGACAGATCTTGAAGATCTCGCGGTCGTTGATCTGGGATACGCGAATTAGGTAATAATGACCGTGAGTAAGGAAGTCCCGGTTCGGCAGGTTCTCAATGAGCTGCGACTTGTTAGCATCAAGATAACAGCAGTAAGAGAGCGTCGTCTCACATTCAGGTGCATGCCGAAGAAATTGCACAGGAAAAGAGCCAAGTTCTGAATGAACCCCTGATCTCTGGAGTTGCTTTGGCTATATGTCGACTTGAGGTCGAGGGTGATGGGAATGATGGTGGCGATGGTCGTTAGTACCTCGGTGAACATCTTGACCAGCTGCTCATCGTAAGAATTAGGCTGGCCGGGCCCACCAGTTTGCAGACCGCCAATCTCGGTCAAGCACTGCAGAGCGATGTTGCGGAACTCGGGGACGGGCAAAAATCGTGTACGCAAGGTGTCGATGAGCGGCGTCTCGAAGATGTAACCGAGAGGAATCCAGTTGCAGAAGCGCAATAATGTCTCGAGGGTGGCCTTGACCAGGCTCGGCTGATCGGCGGTGTTCAGGACCTCCTGGCAGAGGGTGAAGATTTGAGAAAACTCGGCGCACATGGTGGTCTTCAAATTCCGGGTCTTGGTGGATGTCATTTGCTCGGCGGAGTAGTCGAATACCTCCTCGGACAGCAGGCGCAGAATGACCATGTTGTTCTCGCAAATGGACAGACTAGAGTGGCACGACGTGATAATCTCGTTGATGAACGTGGGCCAGTTGTGAGGCCATTCTTGCTTCAGGATCGAGATGAGGACAATGTTGAGCTTGTTCAACAGGATCTTCTGTTCCTTCATCGACTCTTCGGAGCTCGAGCACTGAATAATGAACTGGACGACGAAGTTGCGGATGCCTGACTATTGTCAGTAAGAGTGTAGGAAGTAGAGGCAAACTCACGAACCTTGGCACTGGTCTCTAGGCAGAACCTTCCATCTTGTCATAATAACATTGTCAAGCACCTGCAATCCCAAGACTAGAAAAAACCGTCAGCTGTTTTGCACCCCGTCGTCTTGGTGGCTCGCGCCCGACATACACTTTGTTTGAGGGTGGGTCGCTTCGGCGAGGATCTTGTCGACAAGGAGCCAGGAATCTTGGTCTTCCTTGAACTGTAGCAGGAATCGTGTTAGAGACTGAGGTCATGGTCTGTGTGGACGAGGCGGTGTTGGTCGCGTACCTGGTTAAGCGTAGCTTGCGCTTGCTTTTGCTATATTTCCAGAATCATCGGTCAGCCTCGGCCAAAAATCTCAGACGGAGCCGGGGCAGAAAACTGCAGCGCACCTGTTCTCCACGGCCCTCGTAGAAGGAGCGGACGATCTCGTCCAGCTCCGGGATCGTGATAGCCATCGCTGGTGGTGCGGTACGGGGGGCGGGGTGTGGTGGACGACAGGTCGATCTCGATCGCAAGACGCAGCAACGGTAGTGAGGGGGAATCTGGTCGCGGCACAACTCTCCCCAAAGTCAGGAGGAGGGCAGGCGGGGGCGAAAGCGATGGCGCGGTCGCGGGGGAGTTTTGGGGGATCGGTATACGAGCGCTACGGCTGATGCAGCAAAAAAGGACGAGTTCGTATGTTGTTCGCGAGGGAGATTTGTGCAATTGGAAGAGAGAAGGAAAGCGGCGGAGAGGTGGGAGGTGAGGGAAGTCTGCCTGGCGTGAAGGCGAGGATAGGTTGGTTATCGAGAGAGCAAAAGAGGCGGATGGCGGGGGACAATCAATTTTGTCAGCCGCCCGCTAACTCCACCAGCCACAGGTAGCGATACCTTACCTCCCAGTGCCTCCCCATGCCCACGGCAACGACCAGTCCACCTACGGGTCAGTGTTTCCTCACGCTCTTTACCGACCTTTTGGTCTCCAATTTACAAGTCGCCGTGCCTAATTACTACAGGGCAGCTGCGAAGCTTGGGCCTGGACCAGCCCTGCACTTTACCTCTTTTCGTTTCTTCAGTGGAAAACTTGCGTTTCCATCTCCGCCCGAGGTTCCTTTCTACCTAAAGCACTGGACCTTACACAGTCCCGGTCACCTAAGGTGAGGTACCTACCTAGGTAAGGTAGGCAGGCATGGAAAGCACGGATAGGTGGAGGTGTACCTTGGTAAGGTAAGTACCTAGGTAGTTCCCAAGGCACTGAGAGGTGAGGTGTCGATGTTGCTGCTGCTGCACAGCACCCCTCTTTTCCACCTGCGCTCACCTGGCGCGTTGAACCCTGTCAGGTCAACCTCACCTAGCAACCAGACAGCGTGACAGCTACTGCCACTTTGACAGTGCACCACCGATGCGCGTCATCGGTGGCATGTCCACACCGACAGCTCACCTTTCCGCTACCTCCTCTTCACCTTGCCTTCCCGGCGGCCGGCTACCTACACCTCCTCCTCTTCATCTGCATCGGCCGAAGCGCGTATGAAATTGCAGTGGCGCACGGAATCGGCCTTTTATCTTCCACTCGGCGGCCCCTCTTGTTGGTTTAGATTTCCTTCCAAGCTGGCCACCCATCATCCCCATCATCACTCTCAGTGTGTCCAAGTAATGTACTGGTACAAGGTCGCTCCTCACCCCCACCTGCCCTACAGTACCTTTATACAGTATCGGTTTACCTTCGGAGAATTACACGGCGATGCGTCCGACAGATGTAGCCTGGCGACGCATCATTATTTCCCCCCGAACTTCGAGGAAGTATAAAGTCTAATCAAACTCATGGGTCATTCAAGAGGGTATTCTGAGACTAATTAGATACCTTATTTAACAAGAACGAAGGGGCAATCAATACTAAATTACACCAAATTATTGACTTGTTGGCCATGATATTCACTCGTTCACCGTGGAAGATGATCCAACCTCATTGTAGCCTGACGAGCAAACAACTTAACAAGGTAGCTGACATATCAATACCGCGCGCCTGACCTGTGGACCCCTGTTTACAATGGGCCCAGGAGAACGAACCGTTGCCCATCACACTTAGACTTTTGCCAATTAATCACATTAAGCGCTGCTTGCCCTGGCCATCATTGTGACTTTCTACAAATTTGTTTCAGCTTTCATTTCTTTCTTCCTCATATTTTGGTCAGAATAAGCCATGCCAGATCTAATAAACATATAATTGCCCGGGCTCAGCCAGTCTATACAACCCAAACCCCTTATCTCTACTCCTTTTTGTAGCCAACTTCAAACAAACTGTCTTGCAAAGCCTTGATCGCATTGTCGATATCCTTGCGGTTGGGGTCTGTCACGCTGACACCCATGTGTCCGAAACGGATGTACTTGGGCTGAATCTCCTTGTGAATACCGCCGGCGAAAATGATGCCCTTCTTGGCGAGGCTAGGCAGCACGTCGGTCGCCTTGACGCTGTCGGGGAGGTAGATGGCGGTCATGCCGTGGGCCTGGTCGTCGGGGTTGGCGGCAACCTGCTTCAGTCCGAGATCTGCGACGGCCTTCTTGACCTTGTCGGAAACCTCCTTGTGCCTGGCGAACCGCTCGGACAGGGGCTTGGAGAGGATCTGGGTGAGGCCGGTGTGCAGGGCGTGAATCAGTTGGGGCGAGGGTGTCGCAAAGTAAGAGGGCTTCTTGGCCTCGTAGTTTTGCATAACTTGTGACTAGATTAGCGATCGAGATCCTGCTCAGATTGTGCGCCGCGATACTTACCAGGGGTCCAGTTCTTGAACGAAGCAAAGTACGACGCCGGGGGAGTCTTGCGCTGGGCAAACGCCTTCATGGCCGCACCACTGAACATGGAAATCGACAGACCGGCGGGGACGCCAATAGCCTTTTGACTGGCGGTGATGACACCATCGAGCTTCCACTCGTCAAACTGTATCTCCTCAACACCGACACTGCAGACACCATCGACGATGACGAGGGTCTCGGGGGAGACCTTCTTGACCAAGGCGGTCAACTCCTTGAGCTCACTCAGCACGGCGGTGGACGTGTCGACGTGAGTAACGGTCAGGACCTTGTACTTCTTCTCGGACAGAGCCTTCTCGATCTCGGGGAGCTGGGGGCGGGATCCGACGGGAGCTCTCAGCTCGGTGACGTTGGCGCCGTAGGTCTTGAAGCAGTCCGTGAAGCCATTGCTGAAGTAGCCGGTGGCGAGGACCAGGACGTCCTCACCGGCCTCGACAAGGTTGGCGGCGACGAGGTCCCAGCCGAGGGTACCGGAGCCAGAGATGACAAAGGGTTGCGCCGAGGGGTCCTTGGTGATGAAGAGCTGGCGCAGCATGGAAAGCGTCTCGCCAAAGGTGTTTACGAAACCGGGACCGACATGGCTCTCACTGGAGACGGGTGTAGGTCAGCATGGTGTTCTGGGCATACCGGGAGGGCATCCGGTGGAGACGGAGGGGGTGCCGGAGGGAGAAGGACTTCAGACCTGTAGTGGCTCATGGACTGGAGGACGGCATCGTCGAACTCGATGGGTCCCGGGATGAGGAGGGTCGAGTGAGGTGGTTGAGAAGACATTGTGGAAACTGGTCGTGCCTATGGATGGTGTGAGTGCGAGAAGGAAAGTTGGATTTATCAATTGGAGGGGTTGTAGTCTGGGGTAGTTCGAATTTAAAAAAGGGTGGACTTACAGCCGTTGATGTAGTCGTCGCAGGTTCCGATGGTCGCAGGTGTCTCGAGATGAGCGATACCCGAGCTGATGAGGGGTTGCTAAGGTTGTGGAGGGGCATTCTCCCCTGCTTCGCCAACGTGCGGAGAGGGAGCTGGAGCCGCCTTAGGGGAACGTGCATGTGCGCCTATGCGTCATTCACACCTCGGGAGGTAAGCCGATAGTCTTTATCGGACGGAGGATGTAATTGGTCTAGGAACAATGAGTTGTGAGGGCTCTTACGATTTTGCTCGGATCAGTCCCGTCGTGGGGAGTACAAGTCTAGGAAGACGAGGCCGAGAACGACTTTAAAGGAGCGGATACCGGGGCCGAAGACTTTTGAGGACCCCTTGCTTAGACTATCCTTTGGTAAATAAAAAGCAAACAGAGTACGCAATGTCATCGAGTAATCCTTGCCTTGGATTTTTTTTTTTCAATTCTGTAAGACGCAATGCTGTGGTCTGTCTGGCTGCTGTGTCCCCGCCTCTAAAAGTGGCTGGGCTTTGGTTTTTTGGTTCTTTGGGGGGCTTTTCTGGAGCACACTAGGCAATGAGCGTGGAGAGACGGACAGTCGACTTCTGCGTGTGGAAGTCAAGCAAGAGAAGACTGAGGGAAAGGGAAGGCAAGGAGTAAACTCGGCATTCAAGTCCGAGTCAGGAGAGTGCCGTGTCTCTTACCGGTGTCCTGGCGTCGGAGAGTGGAGAGCTCCGAGTTCAAACGAGAGACGTTGAGAGCACCTTAGCAATTACGAATAACATTGACTGGATGGCATGAGCCATGCTGAAGAGGAGCTCCCGTCCCTCCTGAGTTCGGGGGACGGCACCGGACGACATCGGCGCTTTCCCAAGTTTGGGACAGGCTTGCTGAGCCACACTTCTGTTGAATATCCACCATCAGACTGTGGCTTGACCTCTATCCTCAGCCCCACCTTGACCGTTGCAATTGAGGCTGAGGTGGGAAAGCGGTCGCAGCGGCGGTGCATCATGAGCTACATACACCGAGCCGACACAGCGAAGCTACTTTATCGAGGACCACTACGTCAGATCAAGAGACGACCAATTCGAAACCTCACTGCCAAAGCTACATAGGCCACCGTCGTATCGGTTCCGCGATTCACCGACACCCTCAGCCGGAACCGCCCCGGCCCGCGGACCTTTGAATCCGCCGCGCAACTCCAGGTCCCATTCTCACAGCAGGCAGCTCCCGAATCCCCGGCGCTCCCATCACCACCTTCACGTCTTCCGTCAATATGGCGTTCTTAATTCTAGTCATTGGCGACCTCCACATCCCAGATCGCGCCCTCGATATCCCCCCAAAGGTAAACACCTCTTCCCCTCTCCTCTCCCCGCAACAGCTTCAGCAAGCTAACACACACACACCCAAACAACAGTTCAAGAAGCTCCTCGCCCCAGGAAAGATCGGCCAGACCCTCTGCCTGGGCAACCTGACAGACAAGCACACGTACGAGTACCTCCGCACCATCGCCCCGGACCTCAAGATCGTAAAGGGCCGCTTCGACGTCGAGGCCACCAGCCTGCCCCTCACTCAGGTCGTCACCCACGGCTCCCTGCGCATCGGCTTCCTCGAGGGCTTCACCCTCGTCTCCAACGAGCCCGACCTCCTCCTCGCCGAGGCCAACAAGCTCGACGTCGACGTCCTCTGCTGGGGCGGCACCCACAAGTTCGACGCCTTTGAGTACATGGACAAGTTCTTCGTCAACCCCGGCAGCGCCACGGGCGCCTTCACCGCGGGCTGGGGCAAGGACGGGGAGGAGCCCGTCCCCAGCTTCTGTTTGATGGACGTGAGTACTATATATTTCGTTGCTCTAAGCTGGCCGGCTCGGATTCTATCTAGTAGGAAACGAGCGTATATCATACTCGTTTTGCTAACAGCCAGTCCAGGTGCAAGGGATTTCTCTCACTCTCTACGTATATCAACTACGGAAAGACGACAAAGGCAACGAGAATGTCGCTGTAGAAAAGGTGACATACACGAAGCCCGTGGAACCATCGGCAGCAACATGAATCAATGGCGCAATGACGACAGGAGAAGGCGTTTAATCGAGGACGTGAAGATTTGCAAAGAAAAAGTGGAAGATCCAGCCATCATCGACTGGTGATCATGGTTCAAGACCACAAGAACGTAGGCAAATGATGATCATGATAATAATATAAATTTAGCCAGCCATTATTCGGGGCGTCAAGCTCGCTATGCTCCCCTATATGCACAAAAACCCAATCGCGTGCGTCTCCCTTGGTATCCAGACGGCAGTGGCCCTTCTACGGGCCTACCCAGAAACATAGACAAAACAAGGAGAATGGTATTTGACAACGTATCCAACTCCAAAAAAACACCAGTGCTAGCCGTCAGTCTCATCATGTAGTGGTCATTACAACATCATGCTCCTTCTCCGCATCGACACTTTGGAATTTGTCTCCTGAAAGTCGCTGCTGCTCTCCACACTCTCGAAGCTGCTATCTTCGACACATTCTGCTTCTGCGCGATTCCTTTTTGGCAAGACCATCGACGCTCTCTTTCTGGGCCCACCGGACTTGGGTCGCTGGCTGACTTCTGCCCCCTCCCCTCTGAAGTCGTCCCTCGTTGTAGACGACGCCCGTCTTGATGATTTGGACTGTCGCGCTGGCAAAGTGAGGTCCTTTGTATCGACAACCCTAAACGTGTCGCTAGCCGGTGTTGAGGCGGGAAACTCATAGGGATCAGCCTCCCTCTCGGGCGACAGTGTCGATGGGCGGCTGGGTGTCTTCTCTGGGGCAGTCGAGCTGCTAGCGTTTTGTTGGAAAGGCCTCTGTCCTTCGCCCTCGCTGATCGAGCCCGACATCATAGCAGACGACCGTTTCTTACGAAGTGGTTTCGCGACAGCGAGAAGTCGTTCCGGCGACATCGGTTTGTCGATAGGCTCGTGGGGGCTCTTCTGACTTTGCCGGCTGATTAGAGACGGCGAAGCAGCAGCCGCAATCTGCTGCCAAGTAGCATCGTCACTAGATTCGCGTTTGATTATTGGTGCCGCATCCGACGCAGATGGATCTGAACTGGCGCTGCCACTACGCTGAAGGTACCTCGTCTGACCAGTAACGGCGTCATAAAGTTCCTTCGTAGGGCGTCGCATCTTGTCACGCAGGTTCGGTTCTGCGTAGCTGACTGAAGCTCGCGCCCTCCTACTTGGACGCGAAGTTTCGCCCTGGGAAGAGATGTCGTTTGGCGGGGGCGTATCCCGAACACTCGGCAGGCTCATTCTAGACGCTGGCTCAGGGGATGCTGGTGATAGGAGAGCAGCTTCTATGGGTACGGTTTCTGTACTCGGCAGGACGTCGACAGTGGGTGCCGGTGATGGCGCTGTGGCAATGACAACTTCGACTGGCTCAGGCTTGGATATGGATTCGGCCTCAGCTTCTCTGATCTTCTGCGCAGCCCGCTGGCTTGCGGCGCGGGGCTTCGGCTTTTCAGGGGCGACCTTGGAGTCGTTCGCTGCGTCTTTGGAGCTCTTCACAGGCGATGCCATGTCGTCATTCGTGCTCTTGGCCGACAAAGGCTTTCTCGAGTTGACTGGTGCCGACATTCGTTCTCTAGCCTCACGGCGTCTGTTGGCGAGCTCTTTCAGCGTCTGTCCGCTAGGTTGCTCGCGTGGTTCAAGCGGGCGTTGCTCGAGCTCTTTCGACTTCGAGGGTTGGATGGGTTGTTTGGTGATTTTGGCAAGGTCGTCTCCCATGCTATGCTTTCTCTTTGACCCAGCCTTGACGACGATCGGAAGCACTGGGGGCAAGATGGGAGTCTCCTTGGGCGGGTGCTTGGCATCGGGTCTGGCGTCTTCCGTCTTGGTCGCAGGATCGGGCCGCACAATGACATTTCTCTCGGGCTTCTGCGTCGTTCGGGATACGGGTGCTGGAGCTACTACTGGCGCTGGTGATGGTGATTTCACGGGCGAGCTGTTCGTGGCTGCCTGCGGTTCTGTGGCACTCAGGGGTTGACGAGGGGATCCGATGTCAACGGAGTCTGCATCGACGAATCGCGACATTGGTGGAGGACCGAGTTCGGGGGAATCAGTGGTATCGGCGTTGTCTGTAGTATCTGTCGTATCGGCGGCTTCTGAGCACAGAGCGAGGATCTGGTCACGGCTTTGTCACATTAGCACCACAAGCTCGACAACAAGCATCACAGCCGACTTACTCAAGTGTTGCCCTTGGATACGATTTGTTCTCTGTGATAGGCGGTAGGCGGCCCTCTTGCAGCGCTCGAGCCTCTGTGTCTTTTACTGGCTCGCGTGGCGGCCGTCTCTGGGGAGGGCTGCCACGCGGCAGACTTGCTCTGGAAATCCGTCTGCCTCGAGGGCTCGCGTGTCTTTTCGTGGGAGGTTCTTGACCGAGATTGGAAAGAAGCGACATGCAGTCCATCAACTGGGACTCGAGTCTGGACCTGATGTCCAGGGCATGGTCTGCTATCCTCCGAGCATTGCTATCTTCGAGCTCCTTCTCAAGCTCAATAATTCGGCCATTCAGCTGGAGGTTTTCTGACAGGGAACGAGAATAATCTGCTTCGAGGTTGTGGATGCGATTCAAGTGAACAGCGTTTGCTCTGGCAAGGTCTCTGTTTTGGCGCAATAGTTTCCTGCGTACTACAATAACACAAGTTAGTCGATGAGATGAAGTGAAGACAGGAAAGTAAACATACGCGTGTCGATGCTATCTGTAGATACGGGGGGTTCGTTTAGTCGGGCCATGGTGCATTCTGGAGTAGTGAACAAAAAGCCAACGCGCGATGGGACCCGAACGTGAGGAATGGAAGAGTCAGATCAGCGAAGCATGACAAGAAGGTGGCTGGGACAGTGACGATAGGGTCGGGGGGAGGGAGAAAATTTACCGAAGTGTCATTTATTTACACTCGGCCTAATTGGGTCTAGTGTAAACAATCGTGCAGGGAAGAGGGGGTTGCTGGGGGCGCAATTGGACGGGTCCAGCTCCCCACCGCCTGCCGCATCCTTTTTCATGTGCTCACTCTCACCGAACCTTTGACGGTTTCTCTGACCTGCAGAACGCTTTCAGGCCTTTTTGATTCATTACCCCGCCACACCTTTTAGCATTTCCCAGCTCGAGCCCGACACAGAACGAACTTCTTACGAACGTAAAGCGCCAGACTCATCTGCCACCTTCAGACATGTCCTTCCCGACTCGATCACTCTCGACTCGACTCCCGGGCGCGGGGTCGCAAAACGCTTCCGCGGGCCCGTCGCCCATGCTAGTAGCGCGCATCGCAGAAAAGAAGGCAGAGCTGGAGCACTTGAAGGACTTGCGCGATCTCAGTGCTGCCGTCGCAGGCCAGATGGAAGCACTGGAGCAGAAGCTGTCAACGCTTTCTGATGGCACAGAAGGTCAGCATGACCCATCGATGAACCCATAATGTATATCCAAGCTGACGGATGAAAGCGATTGCTATGGTAATCAGCAACTGGCATAACGTGCTACGCGCTATCAATATGGCATCCGGTAGGTTCGAGCTGCATGCGACACACCTGACAGTAACTGACACGGAATTTGTAGCCCAACTTGCCAAGCCGCCTCCGCAAGAAGAAACGTTGGAATCGGAGGAACCCAACATGTCTCTGCCGCAGACACTGGTTCGCATTCCGACAGAACACGCTCCGACGCTCCAGGCGCAGGCCGAAAACGCAGCAGAGAATGCAGAGAGTAGTATGGCTACGCCATGATAAGAGTTTACGAGCGACGGGTCTTTGGCCCGAAAAGCAAAATATCCCTTATAAAGCCGCAGCCTTCAAATCGGAGGTACTTTTGGTCGCTGACCACATCAGCGTGTGTGCTGCAGCATGCATGACCAGGCTTCTCGAGGTGCCTACAATATGACAGATGCACATGGAGGAGAAGCCACCACTGGCTAATGGGTCACAACGATACGGAAGGAATCTAAGGCAGCCTTGGGAAGCTCGCTCACGTTGAAACCGTCGTCGGCAGCTACCAGTCTGTGGCATGCCCGAGTGTTGGACGGAAAGCTACACCTCTTAGCGTCTTCTTCCGGCAGTTTGATGTCGGCGCTGGATTGGGCAAAGAAGCTCCACTCCAAGTCAACAAACACTAACAAGTGAGGTGCGGGGTCCCAGACACCCAAATGGACGGGAAGGACGCGACTTGGAGTCTGAACGCGTCTCTTAGTCATCCCAATCTGGGCTCTCACCGGTCTCACCCGTTAGCCGTTGCCAGTGCCACGGAGTAGATGCAACGAAACGGGAGGTGCCTCACCCCCGTTACTACCCGGAGGCCCTTGGCAAGCTCGTCCTCAGAACTCGGGAGCGAGGGGATTTATCGAGCCTGTCACGCTTGTGCTCATTCGCTGTTGGTTGGTGGCTTTATTGGGAGGAAACTGACAAGTAGGGGAAAGATCAAATTGAAGCCAATTTCCCGCCATCTTGGTGGCTGTCAGGCTAGAAGTTCTTCTCTTCCACATCACGCTGTTTGCCTTGCTTCCATTCCGCTTCCATTCCAAAGCAACAAGCACTTTAGCCCATCATATTCAAAGAGCTCTTCTTTTTGGACACTTTCAGCCTTGCCCTCCACACTCTGTCTTGAACCAGAATCTTACGGCCAATACCTACAGAGAGTGCCGTCTACGAAGTAGTGTTCCAGCCAGTAACCCCGCCATATTACACGTACCCCGGCTGGTCTCAAGCGAAATTGCTCGCCAATCCCAGACAGCCCACTGTCTCCCACGTATTGCGGCCCATTTGTCTTTCAATCTGTCTGGGGTTGGCGGTTCCCTGTCTGGGTTCAGGTCGGAATCGGAGATTGTCGAGCATAATGGGTCGCCTCTCTCGATCCAACACCGTGGGCCACGGCTTCGGTATCCTCGAGGACACCTCTGGTCCCGGCAATCATGCTTCTTCTGACGCAAACGGCCCTCACGCCTTCAACAACGTTGCTGCTCTCGAAGATTGTGACACTAACAGTCGCCAAAGAACGCCGGAATTCATCGACGCTTTAACCGACAAACTCAAGGAATTACATATTTACAGTCCTAAGAAGAACCGTGCCGACAGATCACTGCTGCAACCTGTGCGACGCCGCTCGACTCGATCTTCCATTGACTCCAAGATCTTCCCAACCCTTCAACACATCAGGGAAGAAGTCGAAATCTGTGACGGAAACTCAAGTGTGACTAGCCCTACGCAAGGACCAGTCCTTGCCAACTTGCCTCAAGAGACCAAACAAGACGAGGGTATCCCATCATCAACTGAAACACGTGCTGCCGTACCGACTTCCCCTCGCCAGACGTCGGATTTATTTGAAGCCAACGGATCCAACTTCTGTTCTGAAGGTTCGCTCATCCGATTGCTGCCATGTGGCCTTCCAACTAACCATATTAGTCTTGCGCGCAATTGGTCTTGAACAGCAACATCTTAACACAAATCTTAACATACAGAAGTCCATCAAACGGCACAGGTCAGGTCAGTATGACTATGTACTTTCGATTCCGAATCCAGACGGCCCGGCTAGGCGCAACAATGCGACCAGGAGACGAGAAGATCTCTATTATGGCTGCAACGTCTTAGTCCACACCGACCGCGCTGAGGAAAGTCTCTGCATTCAGCGAAAACCGGCTAATGCCTTCAAACTTCTAGCGACACCTCTGATATTTGACGAAGCATCTCGGAGTGCGTCGAATTCATCTTCAGAAAACGACGACAAGATGGCTGTTGCCGAGCCGCTTGTTCGGCTTGCCTCTCCAGCGCCTGCAGGATACGAAAACCCCATGACGAAATCTGCCATCAACGTGTCCGTCGTCGAACAAATTCACTCCAAGGAGTCATCTCTGGACTACGTGGACCACCCCAAGGACCGAGTAGTTTCCTTCTCGTCTACGGACGAGAGCAGGGCCCCAACGGAGGACGTTCCCCGCACTCCATCTAGGTCAACCTCGACCAGTTCGCGATCTCGAATTGAGGACTCAGTGGAAGCCATCGATAAACTCGAGGAGGAGTTGGAGGCCATTAACACACGGCTGGCGACACCAAGCAAGTCTCGACGGGTTCAATCTGTGGTGGAGGAGTCTACTACGACAGCTCCCACAAGGGAATCACCTATTAGGCGGCCCGCCCCCACGTTGAACCGCACTCAATCTGTCGGTGCCGCAGCCAAAGGATCGTCACAAGCACGCGCAAACCAGAGAAAGTCTGTCAATTTTGACAGCGAGGTCCCAAAGGGATCCCCTGGAAAAGCACCTACTACAAGGCCTCCTGTGCCTCGTCCAACCAGCCTTCTACCGCCCAAACCGCCTGCCAAATCCACGAGGCCTCCTACCAAGCCCTCTTTTGAGCTGCCAGGTGAGGCCACCGCTCGCGATATCAAGGCGAGGCGCGACGCTCGCCTGGCTCAACAGGCCCAGGAGAAGGCCGCTGCGGCAGTCCCTCAGCGAACTAGATCTCTCAAGGCCCCGACCAAGCCTAACTTTGAGCTGCCCGGCGAGGCAATTTCCAGGCGCAAGAGGGAGGAGCGAGAAGCTCGTCTCAAACAGCAAGAAGAGGAAGAGCGAAAGCGTCGCGAGTTCAAGGCGAGTCCTATCAAGGCAAGGCTGGGAACGGCTACGCAACCTCGAGAGACCGTGGCTAGTCGAGCTCGCCAGAACAAGGGGTCCGAGGCCAGCGACATGGAAAGCCCGTCGAAGCGCTCATCAATCATGGGCACTCCTCGTACGCTTGCGAGAACGAGTTCGACGAGGTCGCCACAGACTCGCGGCAGAGGTACTTCACAGTCCGGTACAGAGACCCAGCTCAGCCGTGCTACATCTACATCTACGGGTAGCATGAGCGGCAAGCGAAGCGCGCTTTCTGTTGAGGAGATGGAGCAGCAAAAGGTTAAGGGCCGTGAGGTCTTCCACCGCGACAACTCCTACACCCAAGACAAGGAGCGAGAGCGCCGTGAACGCGAGTGGAACGCTAAGATGGCCCGCGAGCAAGCTGCCGAACGCTCTAGACAAGCGAGCCGAGAGTGGCGCGAAAAGCAACAACGCAGTAAGCTCGCTATTCTGGCTGCCGCGGCAGGCCAGACAGTATGATGGGCCCGACGCGAGGATTTTTGAGGCCCTATTTTGCATGGTTTGGCCCTTTTTGTAAATTATTCAACCAGCCGATGGAGCCTGGCGCCTGTGCTGATGGAGATGCGTGGAGTCTGGGGCAACGGTATCGACTGTTCAGCTGGCAAGGTTGACGCAGACACGTGCCGTATAGGAGTTTTGATGTTCAGTTTTAGAACTTGCTTATGGTTGAGCATCGATATGTCGATTGCTGTCATTGTTTATAGCTTGCTTTGGCCCGTTGGTTGCTGAAAAAGAATCTCTCCTAAACCATGAGTACAGCTCTATGATGCTTGTTTGTATACTGTATGTGAGCACTTATAGATCAATAATGCTATTTTTGGATCGATAATGGTACAAGTAGCCCGTGGGAGCATTTGCCGCCCACGGCAGAGATGAGAAGCATTGGTTCGTGGGAACCATCAGGCAACTATTCGTCAATGAACAAGACACCGCGTTGTAGAGGTAGAGTGTAACCCGGGGGTATGGAGACAACGCGGGACCGCACGGCCGGCTAGCGTGCCGGCGCTAGCGGAGCACGCCAACGACATCCGCTTGGGTTCCAGCGGATGAGTCGCTCGTCTTTAACCTTTCATTGCATCGATATACAAGCAATTTCGGGATTGGTAGATTCGACGGAAGACAAAAGCAAGCCAGCAATCGAACACATATCGGCATCAATTCTCCACAACCCAATTCTTGGTACTTTACCGCGAAAAAAACACCATTAGAACATGAGCCCCGCAGCCTCAACCCCATCCCGAGACCCGCGGCCGACGGTCCGTCTGGATCAAGGAGCTTTCGTCGGCACCACGCTCTCTGAACCAGAGTTCCCGCGCGACGTGGAGGCGTTCCTCGGTGTGCCGTACGCAAAGTGCCAGCGTCTTCGTGTGCCGGAGGCGCCGGGCCAGTCGGGCGACTCGTTTGATGCGGCCGAGTACGGACCCGTGTGTCCCACCGCGGATCCGACGTACCCGGCGGATGAAGAGGGGTGTTTGAACGCTAACATCTTCCGTCCGGCGGGAGCGGTGGTGGAAGGGAAGAAAGTTCCGGTTTTGGTGTATAGTACGTCCATGTTTTCCCCCTTTCCAGCCGATGGTTGCGGTGCAGCTTTTGGAAAATATAACGTATGTATGTACTAACAGCAGTCGGATGTAGCACATGGCGGAGCCTTCAACTTTGGGAGGGGAGGGGACAGGAACCTCGCGGCGTTTGTATCGTTTTCGAAGCGCGATGTGGTTGCCGTGAGCTTCAATTACCGCCTCGGCCCGCTGGGGTTCCTCCCGTGCGGTGTTGCTGCCGGGGAAGGCATCGCGAATTTGGGGTTGATGGATCAGAGGGCGCTGCTCGAGTGGGTGCAGCGCAACATTGGCAGGTTTGGCGGAGATGAGGGGGATGTCACGGTTATGGGCTTCAGCGCCGGGGCGCATTCGGTATGTTCACACCTCCTTCACAGCCATCTTCCATCTCCCTATTTCTGTTCCACTCTTCTCCTAGGATGAAGTAGTCATGAAAGAGAGAGTCAATGGGAGTGCTAACACGCAAGCACACAGCTCGGCCACCACCTCCTCTCCCCGCCCTCGCGCCGCCTCTTCCACCGCGCCATCCTCGAGTCCGGCGCCCCGACAGCCCGCTCCGTCCTCGCGGCCACGCATCCCCGCCACGAAGCCCAATTCACCCGCTTCCTAACTCACGCAGGCCTCTCCAGACTCTCATCGACGCCAGACGAGATTCTACCAGCCCTTCGCGCCCTGCCCCTTGACAAACTCCTCCGGGCCTCGCTAGCTACCTGGTCAGAGTGCGCCCCCTCGGTCCAATGGCCCTTTCAACCATCCATCGAGGAAACCACCAGCAACTACAACAGCAGCAGCAGCAGCAGCAGCATAATCCCCCTCGCCCCAATCAAGACCTGGACTTCGCCCACACTCCTCCTTCCCCTCCCGCCCCTCCTAACAGGCTTCAATACCTCCGAAGGCACCATGTTCGTGCCCGCAACAGCCTCTTCCCCAACAGCCCTCTCAGACTTCTTCTCCGCCCTCATCCCCGCCCTCTCCGCCGCAGACCTCGCGACCCTGGAGAGCCTGTACCCTCCGCCGTCGACGTACCCGCCTCCACCGACCGCCTCCCACGGTGCCCAGTTCCGACGGCTGGCGCAGGCCTACGGGCACTACGGGTACATTGCCCCGCTCCTCCACTCGGCGCACTTCGCCTCCAAGAAGAAGTCGGCCGGGGATGCTGGCGCGGCACCGGTCTGGGTATACGAGTACGCCGCGCACGCGGACCTCGCCGCCGCAAACCACGGCGACCACGTCCCCGCCGCAACACACGACACGAACATCCTCACCCCGCACAAGACGCCCGGCCTGCTCGCCGTCTCGGACGCAATGCACGCCCACTGGTCCTCCTTCGCCACGACCTCCGACCCCAACGCCGTCGCTACCAGCCACGACAACCCGGACCTAAACTCAAACGACGTCGCCTGGCCCCCCTTCATCTCGCCCTTTGGCGACACCGCCGCGGACGACTACATCCCGCGACCGGCAGACGACCCCACCGAGACGAGGGGCAAGATCCTCGTCTTTGGCGAGGGCAACGACGAGCTCATGGGCCGTCTGGGCCAGCGGCGCCGGGGCACCGCGGCGCGCGTGCGGACGCTGACCGAGGCCGAGGTGAGGCAGTTCCGGTTCTGGTGGGATCGGATCGGGCTGAGCGAGGGTATGGGGGTTGTTGAAGAGGAGGGGTCCAAGTTGTAGGAGAATCTGTTATAGACCAGTCGATTGTTAGTGGGAAAGTTCGTGTTACCCAGGTACAGTCTCTTCGCTTAGGTCGCTTATAGTGAAACGGCACGATAAAACGATATGAATGCAAGAGTAGATTGACAAAGGAATATTCATTCATACGTGTCTATATGAGACTGTGTTTCGAAATCTTAGCGATGTCGACTATCCTACTCTTTAGCTACCTACTACTATACTAGAATCCTCCAATTTTTCTTGTGCGGAAGCTCGTTTCTTGCCGCCAAGGTACTGTTGGTTGCTTTGCCCAGGAAAGACATCAGCAAATCATGTTGCCTGTGCGCGCCCTTCATGGGCATGCTATGTACAACAGATTAGACTGGAGCAACACGCTGTGGATAGCATGGGTCGGAACGAATCCCCGAGATGTTTATGTATATGACGAATAAATCATGTGCGTCGAAGTGGATTATGATCTCCGTGGCATTTGGCGAGCCATTACGTTTGGAATACGCCAGGCAAGGCAGCGGAGCAAACAATATTAAAAGTAAGAGAAGCGTCGCGTGGCAATACAATGCCACCGTGTCGCATGGTTCCGTAAATCCGTAACGCCGTGTGTGTTTCTCGATTTCGAGATCGTTGGTCTGATGGGGATGGTGGGTATCTTCGGAACAGAACCCCAGCAGACTAATAAGCAACAAACAAAACTTTTATAGTAACACGCCAGACCTTGTCTAGAAGTTCTGGGAAATACCAGCGTTTTGTTGTTGGGGATAGTGCGAAGGGTTCTCAATCCGAGTGTTGCGACGAGCTGGGTTGTCGCGGATGACCGGTTGGCCGGGGAGCTCAGTAGCCGGGTTGGCGTAAGGGCTGTCAGAGTATGGGTTGTTGGCGTACTGATCGTAGTAACCATTTCCATTGCCATTGCCGTTGCTGCCGCCGCCGCTGTATGCCATGCCGATTCCGTCAGAGGTATCTGAGTGGTTCCCTGCGCTGTAGGAAGATGACGCATTGGAAGGTCCACGTTGAACACCGCCTCCACGGTTCATGGCTGCTGAAGGGCCCATGGCGCCAAGGATCTCGCCATCAGGTGAGTACGAGCCGTCGTTGATCAAAGGCTCTCCTGAACGGTTGTCAGTTCCTCCATGGCTGGGTGAAGTTGTATCCGAGTATGCCGCACCTGTGTTGCCTCCGGACATGGTCGTGGACGCCTTACGTCCTGTGGAGCCGGCAAGAGTGGTAGAACCCCAACCACGGTATCCGGATGAGGCCGCATCTTCCTTCATTTCGTACGAGCCGCCATCGCCAAGGGACGGGATTGTGGGGTCCGCGTTCGGGTTGTAGGCATAGTCCTCGACCTCCTTTCGTCGCTCCTCCTCAGCGTCCTTGCGCTGCTTCCTCTTTCTCCAGAAGTACAGGCCAGCTAGGATGAGCAGGGCAACAGCAGCGATGGGTACGACAACGGCAACCGCGATAGTGCCCCCGTTACCGAGACCGCCCTTGGAGTTACCACCGGAGTTGATGGCGCCGCCTGACGCCGTAGCGGAGGCAGATGAGCTAGCAGCAGTTCCAGTCTGTGTGACGCCCTTGGTCTGAGTGATGACGGTAAAGATGGTGCTTGTCTGACCTCCTGCTTCGGTCGGCGTGATGACGACAGTAGTCGCGACTAGGGTAGTTTGCTGTTGCTGGGTAGTACTTTCGGCAGCTTGAGTAGTCGGAGTCGTGTTCTGCTGCTGAGTAGTTGGTGCAGCTGCCGCAGAAGTCGTCGCTGCCGGAGCTTGAGACGTGGTTGGTGCTGCTGCCGCAGAGGTTTGCTGCGTCGTGGGTTGTTGCGCGGTGGTAGGAGCCGCTGAGGAGGTCTCTGCCGGAGGAGTGGTGGTGACGGCGGCGGCGCTCGTCTCTGCGGGTGCGGAACTGCCCGGTGTCGCGGCGGGAGCCGTTGTGGCCTCGCCGCCCGGAGTCGTAGCATTCGACGACATTGTGTTTTCTTGTCTCAGCAAGATCTGTGGCGGTTGACTAGGTGGTGAAGACATATTAGCGACTGGCGAGGGAGCAGCTTTGATGGCATCGCCAGACTCCGAACAAGGGATGATGAGTATTCAACAAAACAAGACGACGGAAGAGTTGAGATGGGACGACGAGTTGGGCAATTGGCAACCAAGGCGAAAGACCCAATCATTTTGTGCGCAACTAACACAACAGATGCAGCAGGTTTCTTGGGAGGCAAATTGATGATCGGCAGAGGTGCCGTAGTGCACTCGGCAAAATCTGGGAAGCACAGCGTCGAACAACGTACCTCCAATGAGAGCGATTGGCTCACAGGTAGCTTGCAGGGCGGAGAGAGGGAGGTGTTTCAATACAAGCGATTCTGCAATGAACAACTCGTCGATTCAGTCGATTCAGAAGCGCGGTCGACTCTCCACCAGGCCGTGTGAGAGGCCGAATTTGGCGATACACGTGGAACTGGCGGCGGTACGAGGCCTCAGTTGAGGGCGAAACGACACACAAGTGACGGGTGCGTCGGGGAGTCGAGGCGAGGATGGAGTCTTGGTCAAGAGTTTCTTTGGAAAATTGTGGGAAGTGATTGTCGCGTCTGGGCGGTAACAACGGCGATGGAGCGACGGGTGTTCAGACAAGACGAACGGTTGATAATTGGCGCGGGTGGCTGAGTCAGGTTCAGGTGGTGCCTGTGTGCCTGTGAGGGAGCTCCCAAGACGGACCGTCTCCTGGCTACTGCGCGGGTCGGCGTTGGGTTCGGCGGTTGGCAGGGCCCTACTTCGCTTGGTTCGTACAGACGAGACGGTACCTGGTCGCGGGCAGTATCCGTCCAAGGCGTATTCGGTAGTGCCGCGCGAGTATTGTAGTATTGTCGATCCGCAGTGACGAAGTGGGATCGATTGGCGACGGCGTCACAGGGCAGAGAATTTGCAAGAGTTAGAGCGAGAGGAGGAAGGTGAAAAGTAGGAAGAAATGGGGAAGAGGGGAAAAGAGGAGGAAGAAGGAGGAGAGCAAGGTCGCGATTTCCTTGGAAGGATGCGGACTGATGCTGATGCCGCTGCCAATTGAAAGTGAAAGAGGAAGGACCGGGGAGGGGGTTGACGAGCAAGTACGGCCGGGGGGGGACGGGGGTGGAAGGATATTGACGGGAAGGCAGCGAAAGGGAGGGAGGCAGAAGGGGGGAGGGTAGCTCCGAAGGAGCGGCAGAGGAAGGCGCGGAAATATGTATGTTTTGAGCAAGAGCAATCCAGCACCTCTCCGTGCAGCGTGCCTGCCCAAGTGAAGTGGACCGACCTCCCCTTCCTCCTTCTTCACAGCCCTCCCGCCCTGCCATTTACGTCCAAGGGAATCATTGGAAGTCACGACCGTCAACCCTGCTGCTGGCGTGTGCCTGTCTCGTGTCCGAACATCTAGCTCCAAGCTGCAATGTACGGATACTGCAAGCCAGCCTCCAGTGCAGGTCAAAGTCAGACTGCAAATGGAAGACCAGAAAAGGAAACTCAGTGGTACTGGCCCGACTGGGTAGACTGACCTGACCATCCACCGTTTGCCTTAAGGTGCGGATGGGTGGCTCAGCGGGAGTTAGGGCCGCTGCTTCAGTGGCAGGGCGCTGAGCTATGCTGCGATCAGGCTCAGGTCAGCCAAGACAGTACATGATCTCTCATACAAAACTTGCTCTGAACATAAGTATCTCCCCGATGTTACTAACGCATCTGCCAGTGGAGCGGACCTGGAGGGAACCTGACTAGGACAAAGTACCTCGTAGAAAGGGCCGATCTGTAGTTCGCGCGAAGTATGCATGGCACGTTGCAATGAATGGGCTCAGCCATGTGAATACCTAACTATGCGGACAGCAGAGAGAACAGTTTTAGCCCCGTTGAGGTCTCCGAGTCTCGAGTCTTGAAAGATTGACAGCTTCTGCCCAAAGTTCTAACTCTTGTCGCGTGCTCGAGAGGAACAAGGCGGCTTCAGCCGTCCATCATCTCCCGTGTCTCAGTCATTTCGCAACTGCTGCGGTACATGCCCGTTGAGATTGCGAATTGCTGAGCCGCTATCCTCTCTGGCTCGCAGGGACCACAAAGTCCCCGAGGCCTCGAGGGACCCCTGGCACGAACAAAAAGCCTAAAGCCCTTAGAGCTCCTTGGAGCTGGCCATACATCGCAGCACCAAGGACGAATACAGAATACTCCCGGAAGGCGGCAGCGGATGCTTCCAGTCTGGGAATGTTGGCTCCTTCCTTTCATATCGTCGAATGCCTGCCGAGTCTTGTTCCTGATCCAAAAGGGCCAAAGAGGGAAAGACCAGCAACCAGCAACCTCCAAACCCACCCGGGCCACCGGCCTTAGCCCTCAGGTCAGAACCGTCAGGTATGCCGCAATGCAGCCGCAAATAGTCCCCGATGTCCCTGATGAGTGTGTTCCCGATGTCGCGGCTTCGACACCTTTCAACCAGAGACATGAATGCAAAATACGACACCTCAAACGCGACACGCCAGGTAAATACGCAAGCAACTCAAAGCAAGGCATGTCGGTCAAGTTTCATCTCATCTGCTCTCTCTTCTCAATTTTGCAGACTCTAGCCATCTTTCAAACCTAAACACTTCAGACGACGGACAGCCCGCCATCACAATTCAGTCAACCTCCACCATGGTATCTTGCTGTGCGAGAACATCCCGGCAGGCCATCCTTCAACCAGTCCCTGCACCGGTCGTGCCTCGCTCTGGACTTTGGACTCTGGATGCCTGGATACTGGAGACTGGAAACTGGAGTCCTCTCTCTCGGGCCTGTGGAGAAAGTTGACCTCATCAACGGGATTCGCGAGTTCGCTTCGCTTTGCTGGGGACACCGGAGGGTCCGTTCGCTCCCTCTCGTATCCAGAGTGACGGTCGTTGGCTCCAGAACTGGGCAATTTCCCTTGTCCAGCGAGCATGCACCTTCCTGGTAGACCACGCCGACTGCCAGGTCCACCGTCTGCAGCACTCGAGATGGCATCATTCGCTTTCAAAGAAGAAGAAGCGAAAAAACGCATCGCAGCCCTTCTGGGAGTCAATCCACTCCCTACGAACATACCGACACAGTCTCAAAGAGTCACAAGTCGACAAGTGCCAGTTGGCTAATGTCTACGAATACGTACCTTGGTCTCAGTCCACGTTGGGATGTCTCAAACAAGCCAACGCCTGGTCAGGAATGTCACCGACATTCACCAACAACCAATCCTCACAAATTTTGATGTTCAAATTTCGATGCATGCCTCCGAGACTCTGTTATCTCTTGGCTCTCGCCACTGAACCCACCCGCTACCTTATTGTTGAACGCACCGAATCTACTGATGGCTTGTTTATTTTGAGGCTCATGTCCACCTTGATCTCCCTTACGTCTTCTCCATAGCGACCAAGTTCAGCCTTTGCCGACCTGAGCGTTTGCCTCCCTCTACGGATACAGGCTTCTCCGCGCCTGTGGAGCCGTTCGCATCCCCCAAAATAGAGGCTGCTGATCCTCAGCCGGTGCCTTTTTCTCGGCGAGCACCGCATTCGATCTGTTGTGCGATCCCATCGATCTACAAAGGTAGCCGTATGGCGTCAATTGCGCGCTTCTGTTGGTCAGATCGGCGGGAGTTTGGCCTGCTTGACCATGCACCAGACTGCTAGAATGCATCTCAGCCAGCTGTTGAAGCGCGGCAGGACGATTTTCGAACGAAAGCTGGCCGGGTCAAAAGACACCCGGCCGGCCCTGTGGCGACTAACAACCATCGTGGCAGCACACGTCGGATGAGAGCTTGAACCTTCCGGCTGAAGCTGGACAACAACCTTTAGTCGACACAAGCTCGAATGCTGGCTTGGCAAAGGGTAGCTGGCATGACATTGCTGATGCTTCGAGGGCTGCTTTCTTCGATAATCGCATGTCTGACTAACAACCGGTCGTTTCTCCGTCACTATGCCATTGGCACGAGCTTATTCGGCCAAAGGTTACGGTTACATCCCTCCTGAATTTCTCTGTAGCATTGGTGGTCAGAGTCTTCTGTCATCCAGACCGCTCCGGAAGCTTGTCAAACAAGCCTCGAAGCTGCATAGTCCAGTGCCCGGATCAAACAAGTCCACCGCTGCCTGTCTGCAGGTCACAACTCAGAGCCTCTTGGCTTCAAATCGACGCTGCCACAATGCTCGCCTCTTTCTTTGCGCGAGTATTCAGGCAGTTTGAGTCCGACTGCAATCGGCCATAATAGCCAGTATGGCGGGCTCTATCATCGTAATGGCCTGCTATTATGACTTCAATGGCACATATACCTCCACATGACGTTCATTTTCCCCAACCCTGGCTCAGCATCCGCAAACATCAGCCGGGATATATTGTCAAGGTTGGCCCCAGTATGTCAAGATCTCATGAGGTATTGGCATAATAGCAACAGGAACAATATGCCCTCGGTTCGGGCAGGGCTCTTCAAAGCAAGAGATCTACAGCAACCAACGTCATGTTCCCCTCACTTCCCTACACACTCACGGAGCATTGACTCAACTTCGTCGACCTCTCAGCCTCTGTCCCTGGAAAGCATTGTGCAAAAGGGTCTCAGGATCACTTCATCCCAACATCCGGACTTCTGCTTTTGTCCCCAATTCGACGACGAGAGCTTTCCCCGACCAGACTCAATCGTTCCTACACAACTCTCTTCGGACCACGTCCGATGATGGTGATGCCGGTACCCGTAGGTCAGATTGCCTCAATGCAGTCGACTATGCGTGTCTGGCCTGCGTAGTGTCACGTCACCATGTGCACCCTCGAGCTGCCAGGACTCTCTCACCGACAGTGAGAACCTTCGATGTGCTCTTTCTCACGCCACCTCGCGGGAAACGTACATTCGGCACGAGGCGAGGTAGCGCAACGCCTGCATAGACTCAAAGTCTCTCAATGTTGTTTGCCAGATCCGTGCCGACACCTTTTGGCTCATCGAATTAGCAACCAGGAATCCTAGACAGCGAATCGCCCTCTACAAGAGCCTCTTCGAGGGGTCGTTCTTTGTCTCCCGTTTCTATTTTCCATCTGTCCGATTGACACTTGAATTAGCTTAACGGCGCTCAATTGGCTTCCACCACGGAGCCACGCTACCCGAGCTATGGTCTCGTCTCCAAAACCGCCACACGTATGGCTATGCCCTCCCAAATGCCACATTGTCGAAAGCAACCCAGCCCCTCCACCCATTGGCTCACGGGAGCCCTCTTCTCGAACAAACGCCACTGACTGTAAGCTTGGGGTCAAGCGTGAGCCTTCCCGCTCCACACAAGCCATCCAAGTGTCCGACGTAAAAATAACTTTACCATTAAGCTCTTTTCGGATGCTTTGGCTTTCGAAGGGCATCTGATTCCCATCCCGTCTTTTCTCGAAGCACGCCAAGTGTCGTGTCGTGTCCGTATGCGATGCGCGCCAAAGGGCTGGCTTTTCCATACGATAATCGCGAGGACGCGGGAAACGGGCTACCGATGGTCATCGATTGCTGACTCGCCCCCAAAACAGAACTGCCGTACGCAGTGGTGAGATAGGTAGGTTGCTTACTGACGGAGCATTCATCCTTCTCGAAAGACGAACATCTCGTGATTCCTTATCAACCTGCTTGGAACCGAGATGCAGTCAGACGCAGACTAGACTAGACTAGACTAGACTTGCCTTGGTAATCGACAAGGTACCTACCTCCGCCAGCGCATGCCCGACCAAGCGGCGCCGGGACATCTGATCTTTCTTGCGACAAAACTTCGCCGTTTGCAACGTGGGGGGCTGTGGCGGCGGCTGTGTTCTATCTGATTATGTCCCAGCAGCCGCCCGTCCACGATGTGATTAGGGTCAAGTCGTCCATTCCCAGAGCGCCGGAGCATTGGAGGCCGTCAGATCTACCGATGGGTTTCGGGAGGGTTCTCCATACGGCGTACGGATACCCTGCAGCCTTGTCTACCCCACGAGGCCCTCGGACTTTGATATGCCGGTGCCTCTGCGAGCATTCATGTGATGTGGTGTCATGGAAGTAAGTCACGGTAGTCACGGGGCTTCCTATGACTCGAGTTAGGCCATACATGCGTGTTACAGATATACAAGAAGAGAAACCCATCACTTTCCAACACAAGAGGGGACACAAATCTCAGTATACTTTCTGTAGTATTCATCATCTAGTTGTTGATGGTTGGCAGACGGTAGCAATGTCCCGGAGCCCTTTTTCTATATGCAAACCCTCCCGCCATGTTGCCAAATGAGGCCGGCGGAGAGGGCTGGTTTAAAAAATAAAAACTATTTGTCGTGACCCAAATACTCCACGCAGCGAAACAGAAAAAGGGTTTCAACACAAAAAGACATTAGCAGTATATCGCTACTAAATGCGAGAAGAAATAACACCGTTATGCAAAATTCCAAATCCCATAAAGGTAAGGGTAGAAAGGCTCCTCTTTTTGTTTGTCCGCGCAAATTCATGTACATGGATAATCCCAGTGCGTGCGAATAGGCTCAAAAGTCGTGACCGTCGATTCGGCGCTGCCGTATCAATACGCGGAAGTCAAAGTAATGATATCAACAAGCAGAAAAACGTCGTTCGCCGTTTAAGGACGCATGCCCCATTGCGGCTTGAGCTGGTCATCAAGGGCCGTTGGCGTGAAAACAGTGTCACCGGGCAAGCGGCTGACTCTGCCGGCACCGCTGCGGAGAGCGGCCTGTTGGACAGCCGAGATACCACTGCGGTTGCTACGGATGCTACCAGCATCGCTCATGTTGTCACCGTCCTTGAACTTGCGGGGAGGAGCAAAGTCGAGACCAGTGAAGGTTCCGGATTTGCGCAGCAAGTGACTGTTCAATTGTTAGTGACTTCTACATCTTTCCAGTGTCTATGAGGGATGACTTACGGGCTGGGCATGGTAGGCATCTCTTCAAAGCTGCTAACCAATGGAGAATGGACGGGAATCGAAGGCGCTGCGTAAGGGCGTCTCTCACCCGCCGGACTCTGGGAACGGCCACGGGCGCGGGAAGAGAAGGTCTCGGGAGGAGCGAAGTCGAGAGGGTTCAGGATGGAGAAGGAGTCATCCTTGAGCTTAGACGGGTTGGGCATGGTAGTCAAGTCGGCAGGGGGAGGTCCCTTGGGCTTGGGTCTGCCTCCAGCAGTCCTGTTGGACACTGAAGAGCCGGGCCGAGGAGTGTACTGGCTGGACATGTCGGATCCCGGTCGAGAAGGCCCAAGGCGGCTGGACATGGCCGAGCCGGCACGAGGAGGAGGACGTCTGCCACCGGGGCCGGGGCTGGCCATGCGACCGCCCATGGAACCATGCATAGCCCGAGGAGGAGGCGGGCCCCGGAAGCGGGAGCCGCTGGGTGGTGGCGTCATTGCACGACGAGTAACGGGCTGAGCGTAGGGCATGACGAACGAGTTGCTCTCAGGGTCGAAGTAGGCATCGCCGCCGGGACCACCGTTGTAGCTCGGGTCGTAATCCTCATAGTACTGAGGGCCGCCAGGAGGAGGTCCTCTGGGGGGTCCGCGAGGTCCTTGAGGCATGGGAGGCGGGGCTTGGCCAGCGTGCGGGTTGTCGGGGTCGAAGTACTCCTTGTAGAATGATCTGATTCTGTTGGCACGCTCTTCAGGGTCCTCAGACTCAGTCACCTCATCAGGAGGCAGGGGTCTGAAGCCAACTGAAAGCCTCTTGGCGTCCTGACCCGGAACACCAAGTGCACGTGACATGCGGTTGTCGTTCATATCCACAGAGCGTCTCTGAGATCGGCCTCTATCCTCAAAGTCATAGTCGTAATAGCTTTCGCGGTCATAAGCATTCGTTTCCTCGGGCACAATAGTCGGGAGTGTTGAGGGAGCAGCATTCTTCTGGGCAGGGAAGTTCATGTCGTCGAGACCAAGGCCAACGGGGGCTGCGGCCGGCGTGCTATCCAGCTCTTGAACCTCGGGGATGGATGGGTTCTTGGCGGATGGACGAGGGTTGCTGGGAAGTCCCCTTTGAGCGACAGGGGCAGGTTCCGGGACGTCGGGAATCTGAGGAAGGGAACCGCCGTTTCTATCATCGGGGTACGGCATGGTCTCGATCTTGGGAATAATAGGCTCAGCGATGAGCGGGCTTCGAATGACCGGGGAGGTGGGGGACAAGACGACGGGAGAATTTGTCGTCATGATTTCGAGGGCGGGTGAGCCAGACCTAGACTTGGGCGTGGCGAAGGGGTCTGCCGTCGCAGGAGGAGGTCTGGGGAGGGAGTTTTGCCTAGGAGGCAAGGTGTTCTGGGTCATTGTGGTGCGACCAGTCATGGCGGAACCGCGCCGGCTCGTCGATTTGGTGTAAACGGAAGCACCATCGGGCTTGTACGATCGGATGGAACCGACATCGCTGCCGGTGTACCCAGCCACAGGCCGGTAGGGGTCTGCCTCACTGTGGAGGGTTCTCGCGAGAGAGTGCAGAGACTCACGCGAGCTCTGAAGACCGGGGGGAAGAAGGTAGGGGCTGTCCAGGTTCATATCCATAGACAGTTGACGATGCTTCGTGTCGAGACCCATTCCCTTCTCACGGAACATCATGCTCTTGCGCTTTCCTTTTCCACCCTTATCAGAGCTGGTCTCGCCAAGTCCGAAATCCAGGCCTCGGTTGGGATCAGTCGCATCCTCCTGTTTTTGCCTCTTGACATTTCTTCGGTGGAAGTAGAACAGCAAACACAAAGCGCCAACGATGGGAATCCTAGGAACAGTCAGCACATTCGTACATATACCCTACTCAAGAACTTGTTGAGACCTACGTGACGCCAAGAGTGATGGGCAATGTGAGGGTAGAAGGGTCGACTGGCTTCTCACACTGACTGGCTGAGCCGGTACAGGTTTCTCTAGTTCCAATGATACGAGAGACGATTCGGAGGGGCGCGACAGATCGCTCGTTGTTGACCGGCTGAACGTCCCGGATGGGGATTCGGGAGGCCATCACGTAGCCATTGGCGTTGAATGAAGCCATTTTGGAATTGGGCGGATTCGACAGTAAGATACCGTGGTACCTTGAAGCAACTCTCCACTGATAACCGGTTCTCTCTTTGAGGTCGACGGTTGACCTCGAGAATTTCTCCTTCCTTCACTGATTGAAATTACCACTATGCCACCATTACCGGACTAAAGATCGTATCGGGGAGTCGGGACGGATTTCGAGGGGATTGATGGGACAATTGGTTGAATGTCAAGGCACCAAAGCAAGTAGTCGAAGGTTTCGAGTTTTGAATCGAATCTCGTGCGAAGTGAACGGTTCCGAACGCCTGGGCGGGATGCTGTATACAAAAAGAGTGACTACCACCGAGAATATTCGGTCGGTGGAATTTTGGGTTTTGGGTTTGTTGTGTTGAGTAAAGAACGACTTTGGAGTGAGTTTGACGGGTCGGTCAGATCCGGTGATCCATTCACACAATCCACGATGTTCCTAAAAAAGAGTGACGAGCCCGCTGGCAGGCAGAGAGAGGACTGTGGAAAGTGGAAAGTCGGCGGATGTCACTGGCCTCGGAAGATCAGAGTAACGACCGACGATGGGGGGGAAGGAGGGACGGAAGGAAAGAGGAACGAGAGTAAGTCCCTTTTGGGGGTGAGGGCGAGCAAAAGAGAGGCGAGAAGGAGATCCGAGAGTGGGAGCGAAAGAAGACGGAGACGAGCCACCACAGTCCTGAGTCCACAGTTCACAGTCCACAGCAGCAAGCAGCGACAGGCTGCAGGTCAAGCGAAGCGAAGCGAAACGAGCCAACGAGCGGACGGGGAGGAGGAGATTGAGCAGCAACGGACCAACGAGACAACGACTCTTGCACGTAGCCTTGACCTGGAACCTTGACCTGGACCTAGACCTGGACCTAGACAGCTCACTCTTACTGCTGTTCCTTTGCTCCTCTGCTCCTTTGCTGACGGCTCCTTGCTGGCTCCTTACACCATGGAGAGGAGGGCCAGAGAAAGAGCGAACCTTGAACATTGACCCATGACCGTGAGCCTGGACCTTGTAAGATGGCCGGAATGCCAACAGCTAGACCCATCGTGGACATCCCACGCCGTCCTACCGCCAGACACGAGAGCGAGTGCTACCATTGGATCGAATGGAGTTCAATAAGTTCAATAGCACACGAAAAACGAAAAAAAAAGATTGGGGGTGAGAAACTCAGGAGGAGGAACCAGTGGACTGTGGGTGGACGGAGACCACGGTACGTACACAAACTACCCAGTACGTACCTCTAATGAAAAGGGGGGTGGTGCCTGTCAACCTGGGAAAGTCCCAGGGTGATGGGCCGGGGTTGGAAAGAACCGTTTTTTGTGGAAACGGGCGAATGAAAAGCAATTTCCTCAAATGAGCCGGGGCTGGCGCGACTTTTACCACCCCTGGTCCGAGCCCGCAGAGGGCAGCACGGCACAATTAGTGTACTGTACGCAGAGCGAATCTACTGCTTCTTCTTCGTTTTCTTCTATCTCTTTCTTCTCATCCGTACGGATACGGAGGGGTCTCTATCGCCTTTTCATACGGCAGCATGCTTATCATTCGCTTCGGACCTCCATTTAGCTTCTGACGGCCTTCCTCTTACCATTTGGTTCTTTTCTGGTCTGCAACACTGCATACCGCCGCTACCACATCTCCATGAACACTATCAACTCGTGCCATTGGCTTCCTACCCGCGCTGTCCACACCCAACCGTTCACTCAAGCAGCCGCAAGTCAGGTACGGGCGACCGCTGACTGGCTGACGCCGACTGTGCCATCCCAAGAGCGTTGCACTAAAATCGATACAAGCGTATGGTCCTACAGGGGCTTCCCTCGTCTAGCGCAGGGATTTGCTGCAGGAACGCGCCCCTCCTCGACCTTGGAAAGCTCCAACGGGTGGAGATCGTTCATCAGATGGCATCACATTGGATGGATGGGACGGTGAACAAACATCAGTCAGCAGAAGCAGCACGGTCAACAGACACCGTGCAAAAGATTGCCCTTCTTACGGTCGATTTCCACCCAAACGGCCGCCAGATCCTACTCAGCTTCATCCCAACACCTCGATGTTTGGTGTTTCGTCCGAACAAGGAGTCGATTTCTTCACACTGTCACCACCTTAATTCTGACCGACAAAAAAAACTCAATGGGACAAAAGATATGGCAAAGCAACGGAGGGACAAGATGCTCTGGGCCTCACCCTGCGATTTGTCCACCTCCGCCCGCGCAGGCGGTAGAAGTACATGCACAACCACACCGCAGGCTTGCAGCGCTAATCTTCCCGTCGAACTAGTGGCTTCAGTGGCTTCTAGATCCTCGGCCGCTGTTTCTGGATCTAGACTGGTCTCAGACATCCCCAGCATCCGTTCATATCTACTCTTATGAATACGCTGTTCGTCTTGTTGTTTTCTTATGCACCCAACATCAGGGGGCACAAGCCAATCTATCAACAAGACTTATCGGGAGACTCCCCCGACACTCGAGCCCAGGCTGTCTCGCCGGCGAAACCACGCCCAACCCCCAAACCCAGCCCAGGTCTCTACCGAAATTGGAGCCGTTACCTGAAGCTGTGTCGGGTCTTTGTCTCTCCTCTTGGAAGTCAGGTCCCGGGTTTTACCAAGGGGGTGCCGGACGGTGACGACGCCGGCGACAAGTTACAACTCTTGGCCATGGAATGAGGTCGTCAACGGTCACAGCCTGGCAGGCGGACACTCCCGGGGTTAAGGTGAACCTCTCCTGATAACCTCATCGAGGAGGCTGAGCTCCCGCCCGCTCTCCACCATGCTCCCCCGCTGGCGCGTTCGCGATCCACGACAGTTTATGCCTCTCTTTTCTTGACATGCCGACTCCCCATTGCAGCTTACCTCTTTTGGTCCAACTCTCAGTTGGACCACTCAACGCGTATGGAGTATGCCTCTGGAGTATCAACCAAACCATCCTACAAAAGGCACAGATAGGCTTGCAACCCTAAAGCCTCTGCCTACCTATACTTAGCTGATGGTGTTGAACGGTGCGACGCAACTCCTGACTTGCGCGTCTCTTATCGGGATTTGTCTTACAGTGCATCCGTACATCATCGCTCTAAATCGCGCGCACGGCTTCTCACCTTGAATCAGCGTTTCTGCATGCAACACCGGGTGGACAAGCGCACAGCACAACAGGCTGGGCTTACCAGAACGCAGACGGTAGCACTGCAGCAGTGCCAGCGATTTCAACAACAACACCAACGCGGCATCTCGAGCCGTCATTTCGGCTCTGGGTGGGGGTGGACAATCCCAGTAGCACCTCCAGCGACGATCACTCACCTCTTTCAAGGGTGAGCACCTCCGTTCAAATCAGAAAGAAACAGGGAAACAAAGGCTCCCCTCTTGACCCAGGACCTCCCAGCTTCGCATCATGCGGTCGCCGCGTCGCACCTCTCCCCTTTTACGGGGGATCCATGCAGCGACAACGGAGGGCCGGGTTAAGGGGCCGGCGAAAAAAGAGATGCGGCAGTTGTCCGGCTCAGCGCATCGCATCTGGTATCCTTTCCCGCCGGCACCGATAATCGAGGGGGATCTGAGTCGCATGTCATCGCGATGCATTGCAGTGCCAGTCCCGTTCCTTGGGAATTCGAGCCAGGTGTCTGCCATGGCTGTTGGCCTGTTGCTATTCGGCTGGATGTATTCTCGACCGTCTCTATCGTCCGAGACTCGAGAGTAGCCGTCATCGGGTTTCTGGCCGGTGCAGCTACCAGACTACCAGCAGCGGTGCCAATGCCAAGAAAAGAGGGGAGTCCTCATCCCCTTTTGCAAGACAGTCCCTGATTCCACCGACGTTCCAATGTCCCCGCCGGGTTCTTCTATTTGAAGAGAGACAGGAGCATTCCGCCTGCGTGTCTACGTATGCATGTCTCCGGAGAAACAAGCATAGGCGTATGTCTCGTCTCACGTGCCACCCGACAAGACAATGTCACCCCATCCGAGTGCGAGAACAATGAAGCCACACGAGTTGTCCAAGTGTCCAACAACGTCGTCGAATTCCCTCGATCCAAGACTCAGGGGTTGAGGCGGCTCTGAACTGGCAAGACTGGCTAGACCAGTTGCTGCTGATGAGGATGAGAAAAGTCAATCCCATTGCTGGCTTGGCGAACCAGTCAAAAAGCCCAAATCACAATTGGCATTGCCCCCAGTCGAGTAATTAAGCTAATCTTGATGGATCCTCCAAAGCTTGGTCATTGGCCGAGAAATCTTGATCGGCCCCATCTTCTTAGTGTGCTCTAGGTTTGCTGCCAATCACAATGCCCAGTGGTCGACCGCTATCACGACAGTCTGCAACGCTCGTATAAATGGCGTATAATCGGCAACTGTACTCCGTACATATGCATTTCATAAAGTTGTGCTTCCCTACACAACCTTTACTATCACCAACTGATTATGTACATGTGCTATCCGTATATCGATATTGTATCTCTACGGAGTACGGATACGCTGACTCCTGAGAGTAGGACACTCCACATAGACTCTATAGCCAACGGGTCAATTTCGAGCCCTGCAACGCCACCATAAACTCGCGGTAGACATTGTCCGACGGTTGCACTCGGCCCGTTGTATCAAGGACAGCGGTATCGACTCGGTCCTGCTTCAGATGCTAATAATTGTATATATCTGCCGCAGCACACTATCAGGTCTTGAATCGTGTGAGTTCAATGTGCCAGCTTTGTACGAATACGCAGTGCGGACATTCTACCTTGTTTCCCGTTTTCTGTACGGATATTGGCAATGGTCCAAAGTTTCCACCGCCAAGAATTAAGTCTGAAAGTTGCAATAACCTCATGTCCTCCCCTGTGAGGCTCTGTCAACCTAACATAGGCTCAGAGTCCTGGTTATAAAACAAAACGGCAGAATCTTCGCTTCTTCGAGACCTCAACTGCCCAGCCTCATCGGACCCCCCGTCGCCCTAATCTCGTCTCATCTCGCCCTCCGCGGCCCTCGTACCACAGAAACAAGGGCCCCTTCCCCCTTCCTACTGCTTCCCAGCTTCACATCCCATTCAGTGATTTCCAGCGGTCATTGGATCCTGGATCCGTATCCCGTAGGCTCTTTTCTCCTTTTTCATAGCGTTTCAGCTTCAGCCTCGTCGCGAGCCCGCCGCGCCGAGCTGTCCGACAGCTGGTAGAACTCGGGCGCGTACTCCACCAGCCAATTCCTTTCGATTTTGGTAATGTCCCGTATGAATATCTTGTTGGCCGTCTCCATGACCTCGTGGAAGATGACCCAGTCGGCCTTGCGGTTGAACATGAGGGAGCTGGGGTGCGCGTGGAGCGTCGTCTCGCCCGAGACGTTGCGGAACGTGCCGTCCGGCTGCATCCTTGCCGCGTGCGCAAAGTAGCCCGTCGTGAGGCACCGCCGGATCTGCTCCGCCTTTGTGGAGTTGTCTTGCTTTTGTTGGTGCTGCTGCCGTGAGCCCGCGGGGCCGAAGGACTGCTGCTGCTGCTCATTGTCGGCGGCGATGCCGAACTTTTCGAGGTACCGCTTCAGCTGGCCCCGTATGCTGACGGCCCTCGTCATGGTCTTGAAGTTGAGGTTGTGGTCCCGGCAGAACTTTGACTCCTTTCTCCCCTTTGTCACAAAGGCCTGGTAGGCGTTGAGCAGCGTCAGGTGGTCGCCCTCGTCGGCGGCGAACTTGCGCCGCGACAGCTCCATCTGTTGCCTCTCGCCGTCGTGGTGGAACCAGACGTTGTTCCCGCCGGCGCTCGTCATGGCCGCGATGGTGAGCATCTCGCTCAAGCACCCAAACGACTGCGCGCCAAGCAGGGTTTTTGCCATCATCGGCTCGACGGCCAGCTCGGCCATGCGGTACCCCAGCGGCTTCGTAAGCTTGGCGTAGTCGTCGAGGGCGCCCAGGGAGTAGAGGAGCTCCAGGGCTTTGGCCATGAGCTCTGCCGGCGGCGGGCTGAGGAAGTTGAAGCGCAGGACGTTGTCGATGCCGAGGGCTTTAAGTTGTAGGATAAAGGGCGCCAGGTTGGATCGCTGCATCTCGGGGACGGTGACCTCTGGGAGGGCGAGGTAGGCGTCTTCCGTGTAGAGCCGGAAGCATTTGCCCGGCCGGGTGCGTCCCGCGCGGCCGG